CGCACCACTGGCATTCATCCCGGAGAAACAAGCTCGCGTGTCCTGGTCGCTCGCTTCCATAAAGCCTTCGCTTCCACAACACAGGTGCCCATGGTGTTTTCCTGTCCCGGGAAGCTCCCTCAGTCTCTCCTGCTGGCTCCTTCCTTCCCGCTGGACCTCCGGATGGTAGAACTTTCCCAGGGCTCGGTCTCCGGCCTTCTCTTCCCCATCCACACCTGTTTCCCAGGTGGCTCAGCCTCCCCATGCTTTCGGACACTCTCCCTGAGTGGATGGTCTCAAAGACGCATCCTCAGCCCTGCTGCCGCGAGCCCTCTCAAATGCCCCACTGCACACTCGACATCTCCACTGGGATGAAAATAGCGACTAAGCCCGTAGCGAGCCGAGACAAGCCTCGAGTCCCTCCACTGAAACAAAACAGAAACGCCTCATCCAAACCTCCCTTCTCGCAAACGGCACCCGCTTCTCCGAGGGTTCAAGTCCCATTGTCATTGGTTCTTCTCTCACGTGGACGTTGGACATCCAGTCTATGGGCAAGGCCTGTCTGTGTTAGCATCAAAACGGAGCATCTGCACCTGTAGTTCTTTTTTTTTTTTTTTTTGGAGACAGAGTCTCGCTCTGTCACCCAGGCTGGACTGCAGTGGTGCAATCACAGCTCACTGCAGCATCCAACTCCTGGGCTCAAGCGATCCTCCTGCCTCAGCCTCCCAGATACCTGGGATTACAGGCATGCACCACCATGCCCAGCTAGCTTTTTTATTTTGCTTTTTGTGGAAATGGTGGTCTCTCTGTCTTGAACTTCTGCAAGCAATCCTCCTGCCTCGGCCTCCCAAAGTGCTGGGATTAAAGGCATGAGCCACCACACCCAGCCTGCACTCGTATGTTTCCAAATGCTCTTTCCTCAGATCATCACATAACCAGTACAGCGAACACAAGCAAAACCATACGTGCAAAATCGTAAACCAGCGTTCACCTCCCACTGTCCCCTTGAACATGCTCAGTGCGGAAACCCTCCCCATAGCCCTGGAAAAGTGTGGACGAGCCCTGCCGGGGGTACAGGAGGGCGCGGCCGCTCTTTGCTCCTCCAAGCCTAGCATCCCTCCTCCTGCCTCAGCTAGTGTCAAGGCCGCTGACCCCAACGCTGCCAGAGCAGGGAGGGAGGAGGAGGAGGCACGTTCTTCCTCGAGAGTTGCTGTCTCTCTGGCCCTGATGGGAATTTACTGCTGACCCGTCCCCACGAGGCCCTTCTGAGTGTTCTGAAGCCCCCTTAGCTCCACACACTTGAAAGCACAGGCAAGCCGTCGCCCCCCCAGCTGGAGGCCCCGCGCTGCCCTGACCACTGCCACAGCTGTGCAGCGGTCCACTCCGACCAGACGCTCTTCTCGTCATTCCCCCAGGCCTGACTGCCCACTCTTGCCCGGCTACCTCGGCCCCCAAGACACACACACACACACACACGCCCACCCCTGCCCCTCGCGTCCGCTGTCGCTCCCTCCCCCTCCACCCCTGCTGCAGGCCGTGGCTTCTGCTCACAGAGCCCAGGCACTGTCCCTCGAAGGAGCACACAGGAGCCACTCACGGGGCGGGAGGGGAGGAGGGCAGGCTCAGTCTCCAGACTCCAGAGTCCTGCTCAAAACCCCTGTCTCGTCTCTAACGAAAACCCTGTGTGCCCTGGAGGCGGGGTCCTGGCAGTCCTGGGCCACCTGCTCCGGGGCTTGCGTGGCATCAGCCTCACAGCCGTCACCGCCCCCACCACCTCCCCGAACTTCCGAACTTCCAACGTGACGTCCCTTGGCATCACGTCTCTCTCTAGACCTGGCCAGGCCCTGCTCTCCAGGACCCTCCCCTCCCCCGCCACTCCCTGCCCCACCTCCTCGGTTTCCTCTGGGGGCCCAGTGGGGCCCGTGTGCTGAATGCCTTCGCCCCCAGCACAGGAGCCGTGCTGGGTGGCCCAGCGGGGAGCGTGGGAGGAGACCTCTGTGGCCCCTCCCGCCCACCACCTCCCCGGCACAGACCAGGCAGGAGGATCTGAGTCACCTGCAGCCTCCGGCCAAGCGGCAGTGGGCACCGCGGGCCGCGGAGACCTGGTCACGCAGCCCGTCACTTGAGAGGAGCTGGCAGGGACGTGGCGGCTCGAGCTATTTTTAGCGTCTGTCTTTGTGGAGATGGCCCCTCGACTGGCTGCGGGGAGAGAACAGCCGAGCTCCTCGTCACTGCCTTTGTCCCCACAGTCTAACGAGCCTGTCGTCAGACACGGCGTCTGGCTCAACAGACCCTGGGCCGGCCTCTCCGTCACTCCCCATCTGCCACCTGCCCGCCCAACACGCCAATACACCAGTGCAGCAAGCATTTATGGAGCACCTGCTGAATGCCCAGCCCCAGGACCAGCCCGGGTCCCCAGGAACTCACGGACAAGACACAGAGCAGGGTCCCAGTGTCTCCCTGACGCCGGCCCACCCTCGTGCCACCAGGACGCACGGGCACTGCCGCCAGGGAGGGAGGCGCAGGGTCCCAGGGCACCTGGCCCAGGCCTTGAGCTCAGTGCATAAATAGTAACAGGGTCCAGGTCAGTGCACCTGCGCTCCTGCCCCTCCCCTGACAGCACCTGAGCAGACACATCCTCTGGCTATTCAAAACCCAACATGCCTCAGCCACGCGGTCTCAGAGTCCCAGCTCACGTGAACATTTCTCTTCCACCTCCCCAAGCTTATAGGTCGGTGCAAAAGTAATTGCGGCTGTAGCGTTGTTGACCTTTGCCGTTTGCTACTGGAATACACTCTTAAATAAATGTGGTTATGTTACACACCGTTTTCATGCACATTTCTTGATTTATGTTTTTTGCTAGCAACTAATTACTTGCTGTTTATTTTATATTTATTTTAGACTACGGAAATGATGTTAGACAAAAAGCAAATTCCAGCAATTTTCTTATTCGAGTTTAAAATGGGTCGTAAAGCAGCGGAGATAACTCGCAAGACCGACAGCACGTTTTGTCCAGGAACCGCTAATGAACGAACGCACAGTGCAAGAAGTTTTGCAAAGGAGACGAGAGCCTCGAAGACGAGGAGCGCAGTGGCCATCGGAAGTTGACAACGACCAGTTGAGACCAATCATCGGAGCTGATCCTCTTATAACCTCACCAGAAGTTGCCCAAGAACTGAACGTCAACCATTCTACAGTCGTACGGCATTTGAAGCAAAGTGGAAAGGTGAAAAAGCTCGATAAGTGGATGCCTCAGGGGCTGTCCGAAAATCAGAAAAATCGTCATTCTGAAGTGCCGTCTTCTCTTCTTGCACGCACGATGAACCATTTCTTGAGGACTGTGACGTGTGAGGAAAAGTGAGGAAAAGTCTGTGACAACCAGTGATGACCAGCTCAGTGGCTGGACCGAGAAGAAGCTCCAAAGCACTTCCTGAAGCCAAACTCACACCAACAAAAGGACTCGGTCACTGCTTGGTGTTCTGCTGCCGGTCTGATCCACTACGGCTTCTAAATCCCAGTGAAACCCTCATATCTGAGAGGTGAGCTCAGCAAATCGATGAGATGCACCGAAAACTGCAATGCCTGCAGCCAGTTGGTTAACAGAAAGGGCCCGATTCTTCTCCATGACAACGTCCGACCACATGTCACACAACGAATCCTTCAAAAGTTCAACAAACTGGGCTACGGAGTTTTGCCTCATCTACCATGTTCGCCTGACCTCTCGCCAACCAACTACCACTTCCTCAAGCATCTCCACGACTTTTTGCAGAGAAAATGCTTCCACAACCAGCAGGATGCAGAAAATGCTTTCCAAGAGTTCATCGAATCCCAAAGCATGGATTTTTACACTACAGGAATAAATGAGCTTATTTCTTGTTGGCAAAAAATGTGTTGATTTTAATGGTTCCTATTTTGATTCATAAAGATGAGCTTCCGCCTAGTTATAATGATTTAAAATTCATGGTCTGAAACTGCAATTACTTTTGCACCAACATAAAAATTAAATTGCTCCCGTGCTCTGGCAGCTCACAGGACTCGCACAGACAGGGACGGATGGCAGCGAGGGAGTCTTCAGACAGAAAGACGACAGAGGTCTGTGCAGGAGTTGATGGCAGAACCCACCAAGAACAGGTGGAGGGGAGATTAGTCACCCAGGTGGAGGGGAGGTTAGTCACCCAGGTGGAGGGGAGGTTAGTCACCAGCAGCCCCCAGGTAACTTATACTCACTCGACTCCCAGCACGGCCAAACCCCGACCACCCTGACCTCTAAGTCAGGCTGTCGTCCCGACGGGAGTAAGGAGACCAAAGAGGAACCGGCACCAGACAGGCTCGGTGTGAAGGAAACGACTGTAGAAGACCCAGGCCCCACCCCAGGAACCCCAGGAACCCCAGGAACCCCAGGAACCAGGGGGGCATCCCGAGCCGGCCCGGCGCAGCCCCAACCCTCACTCCGCTCTCGCCGCCGTCACCCGGCTGCCTGGGGACGACAGGAGTCCAGCAGGCGCCACTGTCCCCCGACTCCACCCAGAAGACAGGGCGGCACAGCTAGTGGCTGAAAGTGAGCTCCCCAGGGCTTGGGCAAACGGGCTTCCCTGTGACTCAGTTTCCTCATCTGTACGGCGGGGTTCTCGAGATCAAATGAGTTGGTGGGAGTAAAACACTTCGCACGGCCTAACGCAGAGCGCGTCTGCAGTGCGCACTGGCTCCGGGCGCCGTTGCCTGATTCACCGTCAGCAGCAGGAGCGTCTTGTCTGGGCTCCTCCTCTGACCCCCACACTCGGCCCTCAGCTCTGCTCTCACAAGGGAGACGGTTATGCCTCGAGTCTGAGTCGGGGCTGACCGTGGGGAGGCTCTGGTGCAGCGTCTACAGGAGGGAGGCTGCACCTCGTCCCAGGGTGGAGGACGGGGCTCCGGGCCGGGCAGAGCCTCTGAGGTCAGAAGTGCCACCCCAGTGAGACCCCTAGAGGTGCCGGCGCAGGAGCTCCAGGCCCGCCCAGGCCCGGGGCCAGGATGCAACTCACATTGTAGAGGATGTCGGTCCAGCCCTCCATGGTGATGCACTGGAACACTGTCAAGATGGCAAACAAGATGTTGTCAAAATTGGTGATACCGAAGTTGGGTCCCGGCCAATACTCCCGGCACTCAGTGTCGCCTTCGCACAGCCGGGCTGGGGCCTCCTTGCCACAGGGGAAGTCACCCACGGGATCTGCATCTGTGAGGAGGAGAACGAAGCAGATCCTGAGCTCGGACGCCAGACTCTCCAGCCCCCACTGGGGTTCCCGGACCCCGGAGAACTCGCTGAGGGTGGGCAGGAACCGAGCACCAACAGAACCCTCCACCCACTTCCCACCGCCCCTCCGGCACCTGCACTGCGGCTCTACTTCCATCTCCACCTGAGCTCAGGGGCCAGTGGTCACCTCCTCCTTCCCCACGGGAACCTGCCCATCACCATTTAAACACGCTCAAGGCCCATGCTTTTTTTTTTTTTTTTGAAACAGAGTCTCACTTCATTGCCCGGGCTAGAGTGCCGTGGCATCAGCCTGGCTTACAGCAACCTCAAACTCCTGGGCTCAAGCGATCCTCCTGCCTCAGCCTCTTGAATAGCTGGGACTACAGGCATGCGCGAAAACACCCGGCTAATTTTTTTGTATATATATTTTTAGCTGTCCAAGTAATTTCTTTGTATTTTTAGTAGAGATGGGGTCTTGCTCTTGCTCAGGCTGGTCTTGAACTCCTGAGTTCAAACGATCCACCCACCTCGGCCTTCCAGAGCGCTAGGATGACAGGCGTGAGCCACTGCGCCCAGCAAAGATCCATGCATCTTAAAAGCAGAAACAACGAAGTCCTAGCCTCCCATTCTTCCTACCTTGTTCCTCCTCTCCCTCACAGCCAAACTGCCAGCAAAGTCCTCCTGACACTCAGATCTGTCACTCTGGAGCCAGCAAGGCCCATGGCCAGTAAGAGCCAGACTCACCCACGGTGCCCGTCAGGCAGAAGACCTAGGCCCAACCCAGCGTGTGCCCGGAGGGTGGCTGGAGACCGCCTGGCCCAGGCCTCGCTGCACCCCTACAAAGCGGACATCCTTCGACCGACCTGCAACTAGCAGGCAGCCAGGGACCACACGGAGAGGTCCTAACAAAACACCAGAAAACCACTGCTACCCTCTGGAACAAGATGGCAAGGAGCACGTTTGCCCACTTCGCTCCCAAAATCCCAATGAAAGGGCTGAAAAAAATCTGTTTTAAAAATGTATCACAACACACGGAAACGTGGGGAACTTCTGGGGAACTGCTAGGATGGAAAGCAAATGCTCCTGTGTTCAAAGGCAGAGCCGACCACACGCGGTTATGCCTTCCCTTCCAAATCCCTTGATAAGTGCTTGGAATGAAAACTAGGAGTAACAACAGTTCCTTTCCTCCCTGCTCGTGCTTGGGACGGTTTTTGTCCCTTTTCTTATCTCGTGGCTCTGCCGCGCCCACCAGTGCCACGTGGACTAATGTGCCCACACGCCCTCCTTGACTTTAGAGGGGAAGCTCTCAAGGCCCGCAATGAGGTACAATGTTTGCAGGAAGTTTTAGGGAGATTTAAGAAAATTATTCTATTTCCAGTCTAATAAAAGGTTTTTTTTAAATAAAAAATTTTTTTTAAGTTTTTTTTTTTTTTTCAGGCAATGTTTGCTAACAAATTTTTTTTAATTAAAAAGAAGGGTTTTTTTAAATCACAAATGATTTATCAATAAATTTAGTGAAAGCTTTTTCTCCACCTAAGAGATGATCACATGAGTTTTCTCCTTTAACATGTTTGCAGTTCAAGCCACAAATCTTAGTGTCATCCTTATGCTTCTTTCTCTTTCTCTTACACCTCACATACAATATCTCAGAAAATCCGGGTGGCTTTACCTACAAAACACAGCCAGAATTTGACCCACTACAACAACCTAACAAAGCACCTGGCCCCGGCCACCATCCTCTCTCCTGAATGGAGATACACACACTCCCACTCCACTCTGGTTCCACCTTTGCCTCCCCAAGCAGCCAGGATGATGAAATGTCCTTTACTGCCTTCCCTCCTCTCTCAGAACAAGACCCGGAGCTCCCACCACGCCGTGAAGCCCCACACGTCCTCTCTGGTCTTGCTGTCCATCACTTTGGGCTTTTGCACTTACTGTTCTTTGTCACTGAAGCTCTCTGGCCAGGTGGCCAAAGGGCTCTCCTTCCCACTGCATTCGGTAGCTGTGTAACAGCCCCCATGGCAGAGAAGTCTCCCCTGGCCACCCTCTGTAGAGCAGGCCCCAAATTATTCCATTCCAAATACCTTTTTTGTTTCCTTCCTAACGGTTACTGCAATCCATAATTATTACATTCACGTGTTTGTTTGTGCTTATTAGGTTACTGTCCATGTTCCCCACTGTAATGCAAGCTCCACCTCACTGGTCTGGCACCTAGAACAGTCCCCGTCTCCTGAGGAATGAGTCTGTGGTCCTCGTCTGAGCCCAGGGGGTGTTGCCGGGCCTCACCTGAGCTGTTGGAGAAACAGGCCTTGTGGAATTTGCCCATGTAGAACTCGAGGCCAATGATGGCGAACATGAGGATGGCGAAGAAGAGCAGCAGCCCGATCTGCAGCAGGGGAACCATGGCCTTCATGATGGACTTGAGCACCACCTGCAAACCTGGGGCCAGAGTGGGCAGAGCAGGGCAGGTCAGAGAGCAAAGCGGGCAGAGCAGGGAGCGGGGTGGGGCATGCACGGAACAGCAAGAACCCAAGGAAGTGCAGAGCCGACAGTCCCGGGCAGTTGCTAAGCGGTAAGCGCTGACCAGGCTGGCAACAGAGCTGGCAGCCTTCCCGCAGGGACAGAGCAGGCAGTGCCAGGGGAAGGAGGACAGCGACTGAGCACTCCCGTGGGGCAGGGCCAAGGGACAGGTGGGCTGAGCAGTGGCACAGAGTTGGGGAGGGGGACGTGCGGGCGTGAGAGTATGAAGTGTGGGATAGGGAGTGTGGGCTGGTGAGATCTACGGGTCTACGGAGGGCTCAGGGTGGGACACAAACAGAGTCCTGAGAGGAAAGAACAGGGAATCCTGGGAAGGAAGAGCAGCGAATGCTGGAAGCCAAGAGCAGGGGATCCTGGGTGGGAAAACAAGGGAATCCTGGGAGGGAAGAGCAGAGAATGCTGGGAGCCAAGAGCAAGGGATCCTGGGTGGGAAAACGAGGGAATCCTGGGAAGGAAGAGCAGAGAATGCTGGGAGCCAAGAGCAGGGGATCCTGGGTGGGAAGTATAGAGCTCCTAAGAGATACAATTTGGGGAATGTGAGGCAGGAGGACTTGCCCCCAGGAAGTGTTTTGTCACTGGGCACAGGGCATGAGAAGGTCCAGGCCAGAGGAACTGGGCTGAGGCTGTAACCCCTGACCTTTTCCCCCTCCAGCCTAACCCCAGCTCTTGGATCCAGGCCAAGGCCCTTGCCTGGAGGGTCTCAGGGCAGAACAAAAGCCAATCAATGGTCTTCCCATAGTGGTCTCCACAGGACCTAAACCCAAGCTTCCACTGGACTGAAGGAATAGGAAATGACCCAAGGTGTCACTGGCTCACAAGGTCACCCTGGCCATCCTCCTGCCCACGCTTGGCTCTTTGAGCAGCCCAACTCAGGAGCACATCTCAGGGCTGGTCTCAGTCCCCAGTAGCCTGCCAAGCCTGAGCCAAGAGACAGGCAGCCCTCTGTAGCCTTTGAGTATTTTCTTAGTCATCCTACCTCATCACCGTGTCAATATCTCATCCATTCTTTAACCCCAGAAAAAAAAGCAAAGAGATAAAAATACAACAGAGAATTTGAGGAGGAACAAAGGTTCCATCTAGGGAAGCCAAGTCAGGGCAAAACAACAAGTCACCCACGGGCTTTCCTGGAGTGGGGCAGACGAGAAAAGGCCCGGTTCCCTGGGGTCAACAGCGGCAAGCTCATGGTCACCAAAGCCAAAGGGGACTAGTGAGGGGCCGAGCTGCGGTTGTGGCCACAGAGCGGGCGGGGAGGAGGTTGGTGCTCCTGCAGGCGTGGGCCTGTCTCAGCTGGACTCACTTGGAATCCCAGACACCAGCTTCAGGGGCCTGAGCACCCGCACAGCCCGCAGAGTCCGCAGGTCGAAATCGGTGCCGGCCGTGGCCAGGATCCTGGCAGGAACAAGGAGAAGGGGGTAAAGGTTTCCACGCCGAGTCAGGAAGACAGCATGCTCCTCCCACCACTTGCGTCTTTTCTCCTAAGAGCAGTGACACCTTCATTGCTGGGTCCCCCATGTCCAGCCAAGGGCTAGCCCAGGGGGCAGGGCTCGCTAGGTAAAAGGAGGGAAGAACTGAGTCCAGAAGCCCCCACAGGGATGTGGGCAACGACTTACCCACACAGCCAGGCCTCCGGCACAAAGGCACCAGCTGCGAGTGGACCTTTGGCCCTGGCCTGGCAGTGACTCTGTTCTCCAACTGAGTCCTCCAGCCCAGTCCCCCAGTCGAGACCTCCAACCAGGCCCAAGCCTGAGCCACGTCCCTACGCAACCCCACTGCCCTCCGAGTTGCTCCAGGGCTGTGGCGGTGAGCGGCGGGGAGTGAGATGGAGCCTGGGCACTCCCAACCCAGCCCCACACACCACCCTCCACACTTCATCTCAGGGCAGGAGGGGAGCGCGGAAAGGTGAGATGGAGGGCTCAGAGGACTCAGAAAAGCCGCGGGACCAGTTCCATCTGCACAAACACACACCCTCCCCTGATGTCCCCATCTTAAAAACAAAACAAGAGATTCCATATCTGCCTCCTGCCACAGAGCATTTCTCTGCTCCCTTCACATCCAAACTCACCGAAAGTGTCTGTCTCCACTTCCTGACCTTTTGGTCTCTCTTTGGCTTTTTCCAACAAGGTTCTCATCCTCACTGCACCACTAAAATGTTGTCAAGCCTTCCTCTTGCCAATTCTTTTTTTGGGGGAGGTGGGGGGGACAGAGTCTCACTCTGTTGCCCTGGCTAGAGTGCCGTGGCATCAGCCTAGCTCACAGCAACCTCAAAATCCTGGGCTCAAGCGATCCTCCTGCCTCAGCCTCCCTACTTGCTGGGACTACAGGCATGTGCCACCATGCTCGGCTAATTTTTTCTATATATTTTTAGTTGTCCAGCTAATTTCTTTCTATTTTTAGTAGAGACCACGTCTCGCTATTGTTCAGGCTGGTCTCGAACTCCTGACCTTGAGCGATCCACCTGCCTCAGCCTCCCAGAGTGCTAGGATTACAGGCATGAGCCACCGCGCCCAACCCCTCTGCCAATTCTAATGGTCAAGTCCCCTCCTTGAAAGGGTGTCGTCTCCTGCCTTGGGTCAGCCCTCTCCTGTTTTGCTCCAGCTCCCCGGGGACCTTCTCGGTCTCTTCACCAGCTTAGCCTTCTCTACCAAATTCAAACCGTGGACGCCCCGAGCTCATTCGATACAGGATCTACCCAACAGGTATACACCACTGTATGCCTATTACTCCCAAATTTACATCTTAACCCAGACCTGGAGCTCCAGGCTCACATATCCAGCTGGTTTTTAAACATTTCCATTTGGATAAAAAAAAAAAAAAAAAAAAAAGCATATCAAACTACAGAACTCAGCTCCTAGAGGCCACTCTTAGGTCCTTGCCATCCGGCCATCTCAAAAGTCCCTCTCATCCTTCTAAGCTCTCTGACTTCTGGAAGGGCCCAGTCCCTTAGAAGGGTTCACCTTATTAGGTTAGTATCATACAAATAATCTCCTTTTTGAGTAACTCAAAGTTGACTGAGTAGTAAACCAATCATTGGAGCGACAGCCCATCTTATCCACAAATTCTTTCCACACTCAAAGGGAGATCACTATCAGGGTGCACAGAAAGGAGATGAGAATCTTGGAGGCCACCTTAGAATCTTGCCTATCAAAGCCACTAAAAACAGTAAAACTGGGCTCAGGTTCCCCCTGCCAAAAGATCAGACCTAGACAACTTTACAAGTGAGTTCTACAAATATTCAAAGGGCACATGATGCCTAGGTCCTAGGTTATACAAACTGTCTCAGGGAATTTTTAAAAAATGCTCCCCAACTCATTTTATGATGCTAGCAAAATCTTAATATCAAAACTAGAAAAAGAAAGGAAAATGTTATACATATCTCAGTTATGAACACAAATCTTAAATAAGATATTAGGGTAAATCAAATTCAAAGGCACATATTTTAAGAATATATTATGGCCAGTTGGGTTGTCACTAGAATATAAGAATAGTTCATTATTAATATAATTATTAATGTAATCTACCACACTAAAATAGAAACTATATAATCAAAAAATGCAGAAAAGATATTTGATGAAATTTCAATGTCACTCATGATCAAAAGAACTAGAAATAGAAGGTTCCTTAAACTGACAAATGATATCTAATAAAAACCATTTAGAGCAGCAGTCTTCAACTTTTTTGACACCACGGACCATTTTCATGGAAGACAATTTTTCCATGGATGAGGTGTGGGGGAGGGGATGGTTTCAGGATGACTCAAGCACATGACATTTATTGTGCATTTTATTTCTATTATTATTACATTTTAATATATAATGAAATAATTGTACAACTCACCACAGGTTGGGGATCCCTGATTTACAGCATTTCTCTTTAAATTCACACAAACCAATCACATCACATAAAGATCTTAGCCAAGGCAATAAGATAAGAAAAAAGAAATGTTTCTGTCTGGGATAATGAAAAAGTTTGGGAATTACAACATGAATATAATTAATGCCATTGAATTGTACATTTAAAATGGTTAAAATTGCAAATTTCATGTTATATATTATATATTTTACCACACATTTTAAAAATTAATAATGTAATATACCAAAAACTATTATATACTTTAAATGAGAAAACTGTGATATGTGAATTATATCTCAATAAAGCTTTTTAATCTTAGTGAATCTCAGTAGAGTCTTGGTGGAACTTGACAAACTCATATTGAAATTCATATGGAGAAGTAGAGAGTCAAAAATAATCAGAAGGCCGGGTGCGGTGGCTCAGTCTTTAACCCTAGTGCTATGGGAGGCTGAGGCAGAAGGATCGCTTGAGGTCAGGAGTTCAAGACCAGTCTGAGCAAGAGCAAGACCTGTCTCTACTAAAAAAAGAAATATTAGCCAGGCATAGTGGCGCACGCCTATAGTCCCAGCTACTTGGGAGGCTGAGGCAGAAGGATTGCTTGAGCCCAGGAATCTGAGGTTGCTGTGAGCCAGGCTGATGCCACGGCACTCTAGCCTGGGCAACAGAGTGAGACTCTGTCTCAAAGAAATAAAAATAGTAGGAACAATGTTGAAGAACAAAACGTAAGATTGGCTCTTGTGTAAGTTTTAAAGACTTATTATAAAGCTGAAATGGTTAATACTATATGGTATTAGACCTGGAAAGACTGGGACAGAAATGAAAGCCCAGAAATGCCCCCAACACACGGAAATCTGATATTTGACAGAGGTTGTAGCACAGATCGGGGGCAAAGCATGAGGCAGTCACCAAGTGACGCTGAAAACCCGGGTCATCTATGTACAGAAAGGGCAAACACCCTTCACAAATAAATCCCAGGTGAATCAAAGTGTGGAAAGCAAACTTTAAAACTTTGAAAAAGCATATAAGACAACAGCTCTAGGATTATGAAGTAGGGAAGTGTGTCTAAAGAAGACATAAAAAAACCACAAACCATAAAGTAACAGGCTAATAAATATGACTGCAATAAAATGTCAACTATACCACAAAAGCTTCTATAGAGAAAATGAAAAAAGATACCTGCAATGCATATAACTGACAAAGAACTGGGTTCCAAAATATAGGAAAAAAATCCCCACAACTTCATATGAAAAATACAAATAACCTATCAGAAAAATCACAAGAGGAAAGGAGATGTTCAAAGCCACGGGCAATCAGGAAAACTCGACTCCAGGTAGCGCAGAGACCCGCCTCGCCCGCTCGGCTTAGCAGACACAGGAGCTGGTGCGTCTCTTCCAATAGCTTTGGCTGCTGGAAGAGGAAACTGTAGAATCATTTCAGACAGTGCTTGGTTACTTATAGTAAATTTAAAAATGAGCATCCCTATGACTCAGGAAACCGCTTCTGGTACCCGGCAGACAGCTCACAAGGCGCATTCGCCGCAGTGTTTGCAGGGTGAAAGCGGACAGAGCAGCCCGCTCGCCGCGGGAGAGGAGAAATCGACGGTGGCACACGCGTCGTACACGCTCCGTACGACGGAGCATCATGCCACAGGTGCAATGAACGAGCGTGTGAAATTAGATAAGTCTGCACACATCAACACGAGGAGATGTCTGAAACGATGCTGAGGGACAAAAAGGCAGGCGGTGACACGGTCGCACGTCTAGGTGTAAACGCACACACGCACTCGCACGGCGGCAAACCGCACACGCGGACACACGCTTGGTGAAAGCCAACGCTTGACGGGGGTCCGAGGTCCACCCCGAGGCAGGACGGTCCCGTCAGAGAACACCCAGAGCTGTGGGGCCTCCCGGCCTCTCGCAGACACCCCCAGCAGCCCCGCGTGTGACACGGCTCCGGGGTGTGTGAAATCGTGTGTTAAAAGAGCTGCACACAGAAAAGTCTGGACAGACGGAGACAGCGCAAAATGCTAGCAGCGGTGGCGGGATCACGGGCCATTGCTTTTGTTCTTTTCTATAATGAACAATTTAAAGTGAGAAAATAAATATTTTTTATTTATACAGAAAAGAAAAATGTTTATCCCCCACTGAAATAATACTAAATAAAATGACTTTCAGGAATTTTAATTAAAGACGTTATTTTAACAAAAACAACAGAAAGGGAATCGTACACACATTCTCGCACTCAGAGCATGTCTTGCCTGCGTGCTATGTCCTGTCCCGGCCGGCACCACGCATGGCGGGCAGCATGGAGGCAGCACGCACCCAACACGCACCCAACACGTGTCAGTGGAGAAGCTCGGAAATTCCCAGAACCACACAGAAGCCTCGCGAAAGCGAACACAGCAACGTGCACACGTGCCCAAGCTCATCGGTCACGGAAACTGCCAAGTGGACCCGCAGTAGGGGCAGGTTTGCCCAATAAATTGGCGAGGGTTTTGAGGGCACAACCCCCAGCGGCAGCAGGGTTGGCATCGAAGCTGA